GTTTAGTAGTAGGGGAGAAAGTATGTGGGATGGAGAGTTCAAAAAACAAAAAACACATTTTTGGGGCAGCAATAGGATATAGATTTTATTTAATTATGTTAATCTTATTAAAAATGGCTTGCGTCTTCACTGATTTTTTTTTTTTTTTTTTGGTACTGGGGATCGAACCAAGGGGTGCTTAACTACTGAGCCACATCCCAATCTCTTTTTATTTTTTATTTTGAGACAGGGTCTCGCTAAATTGCTTAGGCCTCACTAAGTTGCTGAGGCTGCCGTTGAACTTTCAATCCTTCTGCCACCAGCCTCATGAATTGTTGGTACTGCAGGCGTGTGCCACCATACCTAGCATTTTGATTAAATCAGGCATTCTTCTAGTAACTAGTAAAATGAGTTCTGTATTATATGGTTCAGTCAGTCTATCAAAAAAACTAGTAGTTTTCTGTTCTTAAAATAATCTGTTCTGTCTTGAAATAATCTGTAATGATTGATTTAATTCTTAAAGTACTTTGAATAACTTGCCCAAGATTATACAGCTAACACAATAAGTGGCAAATTCAGGTCTCAAACACATGTCTAACTGTAAAGTCTATAGACTTAATCACTAAAATTTACACCAAATTTAAGGTTCTTTCTTCTTTGCTCTTGGTAAACATGCCTCTATCATCATGCTTATCATTTGATAGTTACTACTATCTTCAATCTAGATAAACTTACTGGAAGCAAGGACTGAGTTTTTTCACATTTGTGTCTCAGGACCAGGCACAGTGTATGTATACAGTTAATGCCAACTGTATGTTGGTTGAATGAGAAACTAAAAGTATGACTGACAAGAATTAAATTTTAAGGAGGAGGAGATGCAAAAGAGATCATTAAGATGAAGATTGCAAAAAGGCCATTTGATTTTATTGCAGGTTGAGTATCCTTTATTCAAAGTGTTTGGAACCAGAAGTTTTTAAGATTTCATAGTTGGTTTTTTTTTTTTTGAATTTTGGAATATTTGCATAGACTTTACCAGTTCAGCAGCCTTAATCTGAAACATATGTCAGTACTCAAAAAGTTTCATATTTCAGAGCATTTCTTTCTTTCTTTTTAATATATATATAATTTTGATTAGGGATGCTCAACCTGTACCAGGATTTCCACATTTCCCTTCTGATTAGGAAATCATTACTATTGGGGCTTGAAGCCAGTTTGCAAGGAAATAGGGAGTGAGTAATAGCCTAATTTGGGAATTCTTGTAAAGGATGTGATAGAAGAGAAGACAAGCAGATGATGAAGAAATAGAAGCTTTGAATTTAGGATGTTGATTTAAAAAAAAAAAAAAAAACAGAGAAAACCACGGTTTCAGAGGATAAAGAATTGAGGAGCTTTTTCTTCCAAACTGGGAACACATCTTGTAAGAATCAAGATTTTGAGATTGGGATCAGACCCAAATTTAAATCCTGGATTAGTAGCTGTATTGCATTAGATAAAATACTTAACTTATTTAAGCAGTATCTGTAAAGTAAGGAAAATTATAATACTGACTCATTGAAGGTTGTTGTGGTGATTAAATGATGTTTATAAAGTCCATAACTTGATATACAAAGTAAACTTGCAGTAAATATTAGCTATTAGCAAATCTTTTGCAGGCTAAAATAGTCAATTTTATTGTTTATTTACATTTAATGCTTCTGTTTCTTGTTTAAGATATAATTTCTTATCCCAATATCATATTCTTTGATATTATCCTCTAAAAGCCATTTTTGCTTTTTAAATCAAAAATATCTTGTGTGTGTGTGTGTGTGTGTGTGTGTGTGTGTGTTGTGTGTATACTGGGGATTGAACTCAGGGGCACTCAACCATTGAGCCACATCCCCAGCCCTATTTTGTATTTTATTTAGAGACAGGGTCTCACTGAGTTACTTAGGACCTCACCATTGCTGAGGCTGGCTTTGAACTCCCTATCCTCCTGCCTCAGCCTCCCAAACTTCTGGGATTACAGGCATGAGCCACTGCACACGGCTAATATCTTGTATCTTAAGTAACCATTCTTTTTTCTTTCTTTTTAAGAAATCATTCTTGGGGCTGGGGTTGTGGCTCAGTGGTAGAGCACTTGCCTAGCATGTGTGAAGCACCAGGTTCGATCCTCAGCCCCATATAAAAAATAAATAAATAAAATAAAGTTTAAAAAATCATTCTTAAAAGGGTTTTTTTCTCCAATTAAAAGACAAAAATTGGTAAATTAGAAAAGACAAAACACCAATATATGCTTTAAACAGAAAAACAGAAAATTTGGACATAAAAGGACATGTTTCATTCAGACTATTTCTAACATGGTTTCTAGCATTTGTGTCATGTTTTTATAAAGGTCATTTTTACTTTAACATAGATATAATAACCTACATTTTCTACTTATGGTTTTACTTTTAAACAGATTTATTGATATAATTAACGTAACATACATTTCATCCTTTAAAGTGTAAAACTCAATGGTTTTTAGTATATTAAGAGGTTATATGCAACTATCACAATCTTAAGACATTTCTATTATTTCAAAAAGAAATACCATCTTTTTTAACTATCAACCCCTCTTTTCCTATCCCCAAACAACTGCTAGTCTACTTTCTATATCCATGTCTTTCCCTGTACTAGATCTTCCATACAAAGGAGCTGTATGATACGCAGTCTTTATGACTAGTTTTTTTTTGCTTAGCATAATGTTTATAAGGTTCATCATTTTGTAACATATATCAGGATGTCATTTTTATGACCAAATCATTTTCAGTTGTTTGCATATACTACATTTTGTTTTTCCATCATTGGTTGATGGACATTTGGGTTGTTAGCACCTTTTGCCTATTAAGAATAATGCTGCTATAAACTTTTTGTCCAAGTTTTTGTTTGGGCATCAGTTTTCATCCCCCTTGAGTGTAACATACTTACAGTTGAATTTTGGGTCATTTGGTAACTCCATATTTAATTGTTTGAGGAATTTGCCTGACTATTTTTCCAAAGTAACTGCACTGTTTTATATTCTCACCAGTAGTGTAGAATGGTTTTGATTTTTCAACATCCCTGCCAATAGTTACCTGACTTTTTGACTCTAGCCATTCTATTGGGTATGAAGTTGCATTTTACTGTTGATTAATAATGTTGAGCATCATTTCAAATACTTATTGGCCATTTGTTTGTCTTCTTTGTAGAAATATCTATTCAAGTTATTTTAAAAATTCAGTTGTTTTTTTTTAAAAAAATATATTTTTTAGTTGTAGATGGACATAATATCTTTATTTATTTATTTATTTAGTATGTGGTACTGAGGATCA